TGCTCACCACCACGCCCAGATAATTTTTTGTATTTTTAGTAGAGATGGGGTTTCACCATGTTGGCCAGGCTGGTCTCAAACTCCTGACCTTGTAATCTGCCTGCCTTGTTCTCCCAAAGTGTTAGCATTACAGGTGTGAACCCTGGCTCAGCCTTATATTTAGTAATTTTTAAGGAGTAAAAACGAAGTCTCCTAATTTACTTCTAGACTCTGCAATTATTGTTGTTACTCGAATTTTTCACCTTATACCACAATGGGATGATGATAAAGCTTAAAACTTTAGCATGTCTGTAACTGATAGATATCATCTCTACAAATGGTAATTAAAACAAAAATAGCTGGCCATGGCATGTGCTTGTGGTTTCAGCTACTAAGGGAGGCTGAAGCAGGAGGATTCCTGAGCCTGGGAGATTGAGGCTGCAGTGAGCTGCTGTCATTGCACCACTGCACTCCAGCTTGGATAACAGAGTGAGACCCTGTCTCAAACAAAAGAAAACAAAGAAAAAAAGATAATGTAAGGATCATGAAGTGACTTTAAAATCCTTCATTTTATAATAATGTTATAAGTTTCCTGAAGATACTTAATTTATCACTATACAGAATAAACTGATAAATAAAAAATGATCAGTAAGTTTTTGTTTCCCCATTAAAGCCAGAATAATGATCACGAGATAGCACTGGTTGCTTACTGTGGGCCGGGTACAACATGCCAGTCTTTTAGGTGTGTTAGCTAATTTAATCCTCATATAAACTTTGAAATAGGTGCCATCAATACTGTTTAACACAAGAGAATGAGAGAGATCATTATTTGGGTACAGTTGCAGGGCTAGTAAGTAGCAGTACTGGAATTTGTACTGACTTCTTTGGGATTTCAGAACCTGAATCAATGTTTGTTTATGTTCTTTTTCTAAATTTAAAACCTGAATGTTTTCCTAACAGTTTCTTTTTTTTTTTTTTTTTGAGGCAGAGTTTTGTTCTTGTTGCCCAGACTGGAGTGCAATGTCATGATACTGGCCCACTGCAACCTTTGCCTCCTAGGTTCAAGCGATTCTCCTGCCTTGGCCTCCTGAGTAGCTGGGATTATAGGCCTGCTCTGCCACACCCAGCTAATTTAATATTTTTAGTAGAGATGAGGTTTCTCCCTGTTGGTTAGGCTGGTCTCGAACTCCCAGCCTCAGGTAATCCACCCACCTTGGCCTCCCAAAGTGCTAGGATTACAGGCATGAACCACTGCACCTGGCACCTAATGGAGTTTCTTATATTCTGTTTTTAGTCACATTGAAAATAAAATTCTGAGAATATTTAAGGATATTTCTAAAACATGCTAACAACTAGTGAGCCCAGATAGTTCATTGGATGAGTTTGGTTGCTTTTAGTGTAAGGCCGGTTGCCTTGCTGGGAGCTCAGACAGGCCCATCCCTCTCCACTACGTTACCAGAATCTGTACTCAACACACGCCCACTTCAGAACTCAACACTAAACTCTGCACTCGGCATCTAGCCTGTATTTGGAAAACCCTGCCAAAATTTAAAAGAAGCCCCGCCCAAACCTGCCCAATAGTAAAGCCCACTCACTGGAAATCCCGCCTACCTACCAATAGCAGCTCACCCCATCTACATCCTGTTTCTCCACAGCCAATCAAACGCCTCCACTCCCTATTAAAACCCCACGCCCAAGAAGAGTCAGGCGTGACTTCTTTAGCCCTCTTCCCCAGGACCAATGGGCCTTGCCTAGGAGCCGATTAAATTTTTTTAATTTCAATAACTGGCCTCAGTTGCCTCATTCAAACGTTACATTTAGTTCTCTTGGTAAAATTTGAAAGGAAACTAAAATTTCCATTACCTTACCTCTTTGCATTTTGGGGGCCTGATAAAGCACTTAAGAGGTTTATTTATAAACTTGTTAAGGAAACTGACTTGCATGTCAGTTGTGTGTTTTTGGTTTTGTTTTTTTTTTTTTTTGAGCCAGAGTTTCACTGTTGCCCAGGATGGAGTGCAGTGGTGCCATCACAGCTCACTGCCACCTTGACCTTCTGGGCTCAAGTGATCCTCCTCTTTTAGCCCCCAAGTAGCTGAGACTTGTAGTCCCACCATGCCTAATTTTTTTTTAATTAATTTTTTATGGAGATGAAGTCTTGCTATGTTGCCTAAGATGGTCTTGAACTCCTGGGCTCAAGTTATCCTCCCACTTTGGCCTCCCATTACAGGCATGAGCCACTGTGCTCGGGCTCACAGATTTTAATTTCAGGATTGTTTTCCAACTGAGAAATGTCTAACTGGTTCAAATTTAACAAAAATCATATACTCATTTGTTAATTGTTTTTCTGTGAGTTCTTTCTATCCCTTCCCGTCTCCCTTCCTCTCCCTTCAGAGGAGTCTATACTTTTGCATCGTTGATAGGAAAAAAAAAAAAAAAAAAAAAAAGCAAGGAAGTTTCTTTTTGTGGAGAGAGGAAATGGCTGTTAGTTCAGGACTTTATCCATATTAGGTATAAACTAAATATAGACATGTAATCCAGGAGTGAAGTCACATCTATAAAGTTTCTTAAGCAAAGCTAATGAGATCAGCCAGTGCTTTTGGATCCGTTTTTTCCCCCCTTACTTTTGGCTCACTTACCAAACTCATTAGTCTGTAGTCTTCCTGCCTGTGACTCTGTAAAAAAAGAAAAAAAAAAATTATAAGGAATTTTTATGTAAAACAAGCACACAAATTTTTAAAAAGTTGCTTTATATATGAAGCTTAGTTACTTATGCCTCCTTTTCAGGGGAGGTTATAAATAAATTAGCTTCTTTAATTTCTCGACCTTGTCATTTTCCTGTCACACCAATTCTTCTTTTTTGTTGTTTTTTGAGTTGGTTTTATCCTTAAGTCGTTGTCACATATTTTTACTGTGAGGCTGGACTCATCTTTGCAAGTTGTAAGAAACATCTGTTTTGGCATCTCATTTGGCATTCCAAAATATTTATAAGATATGCCGTAGATGTGTGTATACAGTTCTTCTCTTCAGAAGTATAGCACATTCATAAGGGTGTGAGTGTTTAGGCATGCTTGCAAGGGCTCTAAGAAGGAGCATAAGAGTTGAAAATAATTATTTTAAGAATGCTTTGGGAGACTTTTCAAAGTCCTTGTTTGAGAAGGACATGTGCTGTGACCAGAAAAAGATTTATTCCATCTTTCCATTCTATTACAATCTCTCTAACAAGCCAATCAGAAGAAATCCTATTACCATTTAGCCACACTAAGATCTGCTTTTTAATGGTTAAAAATGGAATAAACAAAGAAAATACTAAGTAAAACAGATTGCATTCTGAATATTACAAATGATAACTTATAGAAACTCTGTGTTTTGTTATGTCCCTCTTAAGAGCATTGATTTTCTTTTCTAAAGCAGGTGATTAATTTAGCCAAATTCAAGCTGTAAAACTGTCCCCCGACCTCCATAGTAGGTGGCAGCTTATATTTTAGTTCAGTGCTCTTAGCTGGCCTACTTGGAGCCTGCTCTGTGCATGTGTATTGCAGGGATCAGCTAGAGATTTAGACAGATTTATGCAGATTCTAGAGCTCCCCCTTGTTGGTTCTGCTGCTCGCTCTCTCACTTGCTTGCTCACTTGCACACTCTCTCTCTTTTGCTTTCCAGTGGTGATGGTTGCACTAGACTGTTTTTTGGTTCTTAAAGTCAGCAGGATTGTGAATTTTCCATTGGTGTTTTAGCTGCCCTGAATGATGGAAGGCTAAAAGATAAAAACTGGGGAACCTTGTCCAGTGCAGTTCCCTTCCTCCAAGTAGCAACTCCCCTTTAATATTTGCCAGCTCTTCTCACTCTCCAGTTCCTTCAGGTGGTTGTTTTTGTCTGGAAGTTACAGCTGTTATGATAGGCAGAGCTGATCTTATAAGAGGAACTGCCTGGTCTTAGTAGAAGCCTCAAATTTATTTTTTTTAAAAACAGAAACCTTTAAATTTTAGAATAGTCTTAGATTTATAGAAAAATTGCAAAAATTATACAGAGTTCTCAAATTTAGTTTAAATAAAAATATTTCTAAAATATATTAATGCTTCCTTGACTTTTGAAAATGCTGGGTTTGGCCAGGCTTGATGGCTCACGCCTGTAATTCCAGTACTTTGGTGTAGGTTGAGGCAGGTGGATCACCTGAGGTCAGGAAACCCTGTCTCTACTGAAGATACAAAAATTAGCTGGGCATGGTGGTGTGTGCCTGTAATCCCAGCTACTCTTGAGGCTGAGGCAGGAGAATCGCTTGAACCCAGGAGGCGTAGGTTGCAGTAAGCCGAGCCAAGATTGCATCATTGCACTTCAGCCTGGATGACAAGAGCAAAACTTCATCTCAAAAAAGAAACCACGCTGGGTTTAACTGCCAATTAATGTCAACATTCGGAATATAAATTTAGTAATGTAGCAATGGCCTCGGGAGCCATTGAGGCATGTAAGACTATTTTTGCCTTTCTGCCAGATGGCCTCACCTATTGTGCTACTCAAACCTAAATCTCCTTTGTGTGTGTGCATATGTGGGTGGGCGTGTGTGTGCACGTGTGTGTATTTTGTATTTCTTCCTTTGCCAACTTAGCTCTATATGCAACCCATTTCCTTTAGTTTTCGATTATAATTTGTTGTGGCTCAGTACACCAGATAAACTTGTGAAAATTTGTTTGAAATAAGAATAAATAGTTTCTGAGAGCTTGAATGTTGAGTTGATGAGTTCGGTACATCATCCTTAGGACATGGTCTTGGTGACATTGGTGCCCAGAGGCCTTTTCTCGAGACGCACTTCAGCCTGGTATCAATACAATACAATAGTCACTAACTATACGTGGCTGTTGAGTGTTTGAAGTGTCTAGTTTGAGTTGAGATGCACTATAATTATGAAATATACACCAGATTTTAAAGATGTAGTAGAAAGAAAATAATAACTTTTTATGTTATGTGTCGAAACCATTTTCGATGCATTTGGCTAAATAATAAATTATACTTGTTTCTTTTACTTTTGAAAAAATGTGGTCTGCTTCACAAATTTGTGTGTCATTCTTGTATAGGGGACATGCTAATCTGTTTTGAATTGTTCCAATTTTAGTATATATGCTGTCAAAGCAAGTACTGTTTTTACATTTTTAATATGACTGCTAGAAAATTTAATATAACATTGTGGCCTACATTACATTGGTTGTAGTTCAGGTAATTTATCTTACTTGATGGTAGTGTCTATGAGTGAGATGGTGGTTGTACTGTAAGAATCTTGAGATCAAGCAGGCGAGATTCTAGCATCTCCTCCTTTGCTTTGGTATAGGAAACTATCACAGTGGTTAATAGATAGTATGGACCTTGAAGTTGAAACCTCAGTTTTGACACTCCTGAGTTTTGTATGACCTATGACAAATTACTGAGCTCCTCTTAACCTGAGTTTCCTCATCAGAAACTCATGTGAAACATGAGGAAAACAATCCTAATTTCATATGGTTATTGTGAAATACATAAAAATAGTTTCATATAGTACATGTCAACTACAAAACATACTACTCAATAAATAGTAGCTTTCAACTTGTTTCCAGACCATTTTGGTGACATTTCGATTTACTCTAGTTGATACTTACAGGGAGTACAATCAAGATAGATCCAGTCAGAAAAAAAGGACTATGACTTTGGTCATCTTTTTTGTTCACTCTCTTTTTCTTTTTTTTTCTTTCTCTTTCTCTTTCCTTTCCTTTCTTTTCTTTCATTTATTATTTTTTTCTTTCTCTATTTCTTGTCATTCAGGTTTTTCCCCCCCACTAAAGAATATGTCTTTGATGAAGAATTTGTAAGAAAAAATGATGGACCCTCTGTAAAAAGAAGAGATGTTACCTCCAGACAGTCAATATTTTTAATTATTGGTTTATCAGTTATTCTGAAGATAGACTTTGGTCCTCCTGTTAGGCTTTTGATGAGTGAATGTGAACAAGCAGAACTCATTTTCATCATGCATCTGTTGTATCTAGATGGAAAGTCTGGTCATTGTATATCTGACACTTTGTTTTAAAAAGTGGTTCTGGTTGAGATGTTTCAGATTTGATTTTCCTCCAGATTAAAGCCTTTGTTTCCATCTTAAGCATATATTTCAAGTAAGTAACAAAAGTACTCAAAAGAAACTCAAGTGACATTAATTCCCTTTGTTATTTCAGCTAGTACCTTTTGAATGACTACTTTGCATTTAGCATTTATTCAAAAGAAGTTCTATTATATTTAAGCAGTTTGACATTTTGGTACTGATTAGAGACAGTAATGAGATTATTATGTATAAACATTAAAAAATAATTTTCTTAAATCTACAAAGAATGGAAAAAAATACTAGTTATAAAAAGATAAATGGGACATAAAGTATATAAAATTAATAACCCCAGGCTGGGCATGGTAGCTAACACATGTACTCCCAGCACTTTAGGAGGCCAAAGTGGGTGGATCGCTTGAGCCCAGGGGTTTGAGACCAGCCTGGGCAACATAGTGAAACTCTATTTCTACAAAAAAAAATGCAAAAATTAGCCAGACATGGTGGTGCATGCCTGTAGTCCCAGCTACTTGGGAGGCTAAGTTGGGAGGATCACTTGAGCCCAGGAGGTCAAGGCTGCAGTGAGCCATGATTGCACCACTGCACTCCAGCCTGGGCGGCTGAGCACGATTTTGTCTCTAAAAATAATCTCCTTTCCCTACCTCTCCCCAGATCTGTTTGGAGATAAACAATGTTAATTTGGTTTATAGCCCTCCATACCTGAGCAGTATTTTCAAGATGTAAATGCCAGGGTTATAGATCTGTGGTATCTCCTAAAGGGATTTATTTCCCTTTCCATCCCACAGCAAAATATAGGCCTACCATACTCCCATCTTGAGGTTTCCTTGACCTAGTTGCTCAAAGCAGAGATGTAGGAGTTACTTAATTTCTTTATTTCTCTCACTTTCCACATACAGACCATCCACACATCTTTAGGATTTTGCTACCCCAATTCAATTTAACCCACACTTTCTTTTCATGTCCATTGCTTTTACCTAATCCAAAGCACATTTCACCACAACTACCTTAAGAGGCCCCCCAACTTCAATTCTTCATTAGGTTGATGCATCAGGTTGATGCCTCCAACCTATTTTCCACATGGCAGAGTGTTATTTGTTGTCTTAAATGGAAGTCAGATTTTGCCGTCATATACCTCCACCCATCAAAGCCTTCAGTGGTATCCTGTTACCCTGTTCTGGCATTCCTTACCCCCTTTACCCTCCCACCAGTGGAAGCTCCATGAAGTCAGGAATATGTTCTCTGGTACATACTGTTTTACTGAGCACTTAACCACATGCTGGACTAATATATATATATATATATATTTTTTTTTTGTTGATGTTGTTGTTTTGTTTAGATTTTGTTTTTTTTATGAAATGGAGTTTCTTTCTTGTTGCCTAGGCTGGCATGCAGTGGTGCGCTCAGCTCACCGCAACCTCTGCTTCCTGAGTTCAAGCCATTCTCCTGCCCCAGCCTCCCAAGTAGCTGGGATTACAGGCATGTGTCACCATGACCAGCCAATTTTGTATTTTTAATTAGAGGTGGGGTTTCTCTATGTTGGCCAGGCTGGTCTCAAACTCTAACCTTACATGCTAGGCAATATTTTAAGAGCTTTTCATCTGTTAATTCATTTATATTCATGATAACTTTGTGAGGTAGGTATTCTTCCAACCATTTTACATATAAGGCAACTGAGGCCCAGAGAGGTTTAAGTAACTTACCCAATGTCACATTCATGCTTAAGTACCAGAACCAGTATATCAAACCAGGCACTCTGTGTTCAGTCCTTGCTGTTAAATTTTGTATTAAATGGTTTTTTTTCTATACAGGAAGTACTTGGTAAACATTTGTTAAAAGAATGAATACAGCCGGGTGCGGTGGCTCATGCCTGTAATCCCAGCACTTTGGGAGGCCGAGGTGGGGGTATCACGAGGACAAGAGATCGAGACCATCCTGATCAACATGGTGAAACCTGGTCTCTACTAAAAATACAAAAAATTAACTGGGCATGGTGGCGCGTGCCTGTAATCCCAGCTACTCAGGAGGCTGAGGCAGGAGAATTGCCTGAACCCAGGAGGCGGAGGTTGCCATGAGCCGAGATTGTGCCATTGCACTCCAGCCTGGGTAACAAGAGCGAAACTCAGTCTCAAAAAAAAAAAAAAAAAAAAGAATGAATACATTGTTCCCTCTTTGCATAAAATTCAAATACTTTAATTTGGTCTAGAACTTCTTTCATGATCTGGCCCTCTCATGTACTCACAGCAGTCTTGTCACATGGGCTCTTTGCATGGCTGTTTCCTTCTCATTCTTTATGTCTAAGAGAGGTCTTCCATGGTCATCTTATCTAAAGTAGGTACGTACTCCTTGTCCTCTCTGAGTACTTTGTTTCCCTTTAGACAAATCATGATTAATTGTTAAATAAGTGGTGTAGGCTTGCTATTCCCTGGGAATTTGTAAGAGATGCAGAATCTTGGTTGTCACCCCAGATTTACTGAATCAGAATCTGCGTTTTTACAAGATCTCCTAATAAGTTGTGTTGACATCAGAGTTTGAGAATCTGGGATAGAAATTGAAAGGACAGGTAATTGAATTATACCTGGAGGTGAGACTTGAGCTTGACCTGAAGCACAGATATGGCAGTGAGCATTTCAGCTGGAGGATAATGTGATTGTAGTCACATAAAGGTCCAGATTTATGTGGCCTTATTGTACAGAATGAATGGGAGTGGGGGTGGAGCAGTGCTGTGGGTCCTCAAGGACATCAGCAGGGAAGTCATTCTAGGAAAGGAGGATGGAGAACTTTGTAAGACCTAATTTTTAAAGACTATTGTACACTTTATGGTTTTTATTTTTAATGAAACTATTATGTTAGGTAATAGATCATAATTTGGTCATTTACCAAAAGAAACAGCAGCAGGTAACCTTTGAAAACTACTGGAAGGTGAATCATCTCTCCCATTCAACATTTGAATGACTTTTCAATTGATAGTGACTTAGACTAAAGCAAGAGAACATCAGGTGTACTGTTATAAGCTGAACTACTAACTCAGAGGAGAAGCTACTGGCAAGCCCATAAAACTGAAACTCACAAAACCATGATTTATTGGGAGATGTTTATGTCACTTTTGAGAAAATATTAAACAGGTGCTTTTTAAATTGTGGTAAGGTTGTGGGGTTTATTTTGAGTTTCATTGTATCCTAAATTGAAATTTAGTACTTCTAGAGTATTCTGAAATTCTTGAATGAATCAGATTAGACTTTGTACACTACAGGTAATGCAATGGCAGAAACCATTTCTTCTCTTATTCATCACCACATCTCTGGTGTTTAGTGTAGGTCCTCACATGACCGGTGAATGAATAAAAAAATATTTTTTTTAATTTTAAAAGATTGATTTCTATCTGCCCTTGAAGGTAATACATAAATGATACAATAAAAGTGAGCTATAATACAGTTAGAAACTATTAGGACTGAAGTGGAAACTAGATTAATAATTTAAAAAACAGTTTATTTGAAAATAATTTTATGCTTACAGACAAATTGCAAGCATAAGAGGCTAGACACAGTGGCTCTGTAATCTCAGTGCTTTGAGAGGCTGAGGCAGGAGGATTGCTTGAGCCCAGGAATTCAAGACTAACCTGGGCAAAGCAAAACTCAGTCTCTACAAAAAAGTAAAAAATTAGGCATAGTGACGTTTGCCTATAGTCGTAGCTACTAGGGAGGCTGTGGTGGGAGGATCACTACAGTTTGGAGAGTTCAAGGCTGCAGTGAGCTACAATGGCACCAGTACATAACAGCCTGGGCGGCAGAGCAAGACTGTCACAAAAGAAAACAAAACAAACAAAAAACAGTTCAAAGGATACTCTTTACCCAGGTTTATCTATTATTAGCATTTTACTCTATTTGCTTTATTATTTGCTCTTTTTCTCATAAGTTGCATACAATGTGACATTTTATCCCCAAATACTTCAGTGTGGATTCCCTAAGAGTAGGGATATATCTTGTGTATGTAATGTTGTTACATTACAATTACAACTTCAATAAATTAATATTGCTCCCCACCTTCCTTTTCC